GCAGGTCCTCTTCTACAGAGGCCATGTTGAACCGGCAGGTTTCTCCTAAACAGACAAATCAAACACGGGCTTTAAACAGGGCCTTTGCCATGTTTTGACTCAAACCAGTGTGGTTTCTCTTCCAAGATTGAGTGGTATTCAGTTAGTTGCAATCTGAAACTTCACCACTAGATGCCACTAAATCCTATACAGTGGTCCTATAGGAGCTTTTTTTAACTGTATATGTATTAGGTGGCCAGTTAGTTTTTTTAAGGTGTAAAGTGTGTTTTGGTTCTGATTTGATCTAATAATTTCCGTTCCTCTGCAGGCACTGGGCTTCTCGGGCACTGAGGAAAGCTATGCTTGAATTGGACAAATAACAGATGGAAATTTTAAAAAAGGCTTGAATTTATCAAGTGTCCATATATAAATAAGTGCTTTAATTTGTTTTTTTACGTTTTGAGTAGGCTTTCTTTAATAAAACTGTGACTCTGTTACAAAGCCGCTGTTTTTCTCTACATAAGGTTAGCTGACCTTTGATATTTAAACTTCCTAATCATTCTGAAGGACTTTGTGGTAGCACTTCTGCCTGGGTTGAGGAAACTAGGTGGATATGTTTTATTCTGAGGCTTGGCTTCAGTTCACTTCCACTGTTACTCAAGAAAATGGGCTTTGTTTTGGACTCTTAAATTATGGCAGAAGAAAAATTCAAGACAATGTTCTTTCTTTCCATTATGTGGAGGCTTGTGTTCTCACTGCAGAGTTTTCAGGTTTGTCAAACGAATGCACGAGTAACTGTTAAGTATTACAAATATAACTGCTCTTAAATGTTAGAACATTTATTACCTCTACAGCAAATCTATATCCATATACTCCATGTGGCATTTAGAGATACATAGCTACACGGTATGTATAGAGGCTGATTCCTGCAGAAGTGTCAGCAGTGCAAACCTCCAGAGAAACAGAATGCAAGCAGTGATATGTCCTGTTCTTTTCACTGTTATTTCTTATGGACAATAAAGTTATTTTCAAAACACATTGTCTCACACACTCGTAATTATTAGTTCAACAAATTGCCTAACAGAATGCGGTATTGGTACAGTGGTACAGTGCTGTACCAAAGGGGGTCCATTGTTGAAAGTAGTTTGTAATTATCAGAATCAGAAATACTTTAATAATCCCAGGAGGAAATTACTTTAGTTACATATACTCCAGATGTAAAAGACATATAATATATATATATATATATATATATATAATCAAGGTTTAAAATGTACAGTTTAAAATCACTTTCAAATGTGCAAAAATGGC